TTTTACTTTTTCACTCACTGACTGTTAAAATGATTTTGGCAACCGTTTCTTTGAATGTTGCTGCAGAATGGTTTCATAATACCTTCGGAAGTCCCATAAGATGTTAAAATAAAATTCATGAAGCTTTACAGGGACACTTGCACAAAAGACATATTCTGTGTGTTAGAGGTTATGACATTTGTTTCAGCATCATTTATAGCACTTGGTATAATGTGGACAGCTTTGAAATGAAATTCACAAGCTTGTCTGTATTAATTTGTCCTGCTTGTGCCTTTTTTGTAAAAACAATAAGGCCACATTTAGAGTTCATATTGTGATGCCTCATACCTGTAGATATTTAAAAAAAAAAAAACTAGGAGAAATAAATGTTGGTGCGTTGGTTAGCACTGCTGCCTCACAGTGCGGGGGCCCTGGGTTCAATTCCTGGGGTGCTGTGTGCGTGGAGTTTGTGTGTTCTCCCCGTTTTCACTTGCGTATCCTCGCACTGTCCAGGGACAAGCTCAGGATGGAATTGGTTTCTTGGAAAGCTGGCCCTGGTGCGAGTGTGCTTGTGTCTGCCTGTGTCCTTTGATGGACTGGCGTCCAATCCAGGGTGTAGCCCACCTTGCATGCGTTGCTTGCTGGGATAGGTTGCAGTTCCTCCACGACCCTGATTTGGAAGACGCCATTAGAAACTGGATGGACGGATAATCTTAATATAGGTATGTTGTTTCTTCTATAAGATGACTAAGCAGTACTGTATCTTACTAAAGTTTTCCATGAAACCACAGGAATGAATAAGAAAGTTAATATGGGCAGGTAAAATGCTATAATTTAATAGAGTCAAAAGAGTCATAAGAAATGTTTAGTTTAACTTCTGTTACTCCATTTCCTGACATTTAATCTCTTTTATGTTGAAAGGCTTCAGATGAAAGATCATATGACACATGGGTTGTATTGTTCAGAGCAGTGCAGTTAAAACAGATCTTGAAAACACTGTGCCTCCTCAAATCTTATTACTGGAGCAAACACTGTGGAAGCAGAAGATCATTGCACCATGTATTACTGTCCATCAACAAGGCAATGCAAATCATTCCCTGAGTTATTTCAAGTAGGTATTGTTAGTCAGGCAGTCAAACATGTGAAAAGAAAGTGTAAATCGTTTTAACCAATTGTTGTTCAAAAATATTTAATTTTACGAACTGCTAAAACTATACCATAAGAAATGTATCAAAACACAAAATCGAGCATCTGATTACTGTACATGTCGTTGCTGAGCTGTCTGAATCCAGGGTTCATGATATTGTCTGTAACGTGTTCCCTAGTACAGTGTCCTAGAGCACAGCTCTGAATTGCTGAGAAGCAGTCTAGCCTTTCTAAGAGTGGAATGAGTGGATTTTTATGAATGGCAATAGACTGCAGATATATAGCAACATGAAAGATTATTTGGAAACAAAGACGGGCTATTGATTTTCAGGCAACCTAAATAGTAAATATTATGGTTCTAGATACTTAATGAAAACATAAACATTCTGACTGAAGTCATAGCCAGCACCGATCGTCCTCAGGCAGTTAATGACGTTTTTCATTTGAGCTGTCCCTTTGCTGTTCTTTTGATTGACCTTGAAAAAATGCTTTCCCCCAACACAAATTGCACATCGTTAATAAACTAGGACATCTTTTAGTATTCACTGTATAAAAACAATTAGGCAGTTTGTTTTTAAATAGCACTCTATAAATGTTGCAGCTCGTATGTTCGGTTACCATATAAGAATGCTTTTCACTGTATTATTGTGCTTGCAACTTGTGAAACAAGACAGACTTTTGATGGGGCTTTTCATGTTGTTGGGGACTACAGGAAATATCCTACATATAAATAATTCAGAAACACCAAAACAGTGTGACGGTAGCTGGAGGAAGTTAAATTAAGGATAATGGGATGTTAAGTCCCAACTGGAAAATGCCAGTTAGAATGCTTCCTGGGAAAGGTTTGTGGGTTTATCTCTCAGGTCCAGTTTAGACTTTACTAAGCATATTTTTCAATGAATCACATTTTGTAAACAAGAGCTTAGATGCAGAATGAGTTGAAAAACAGCACTTCATGCTGACTACGGCTTGTTCTTAAAGTGCTTACCTTTCTTTTCTTAATCAGCAGCTTTCCCACAACCATCGGAAAAACCTGTTTTCATTTCAAATGCAATGAGCTGCTCATAGCTGTAAAACATTTTTTTTAAGCTACCGGTTTTAACAGAGGTCAGTAATTCTTGTACATTCTAAAATAAATGACTGTCTTTTTTAGAGGATTAGAAGGTTTTCTAACAATAATCATTTGCTAGATTACGCGGATGGATAGGGTTACATGAAAACAGTTAAGAAAGTCTCGGACAACACAGCCAGCAGTTCTGACTCCCTGGAAGTGCTGATGTGATCCAATTGTCTGCTCTTTCTTTTGATGATCACCTTCAGATAAAGAGCTACTGAACTGTACCGCATTATCAGGCAAAGGCATTGCCAAGGCTGTAGGGTTTCAAAGGCAAACCCAAGACTTTCATTGGAAAATTACTGCTGAGGCACATTGACAATAAGCAGCCTCTGCATAGCTATGCCCTGGATTTCCAGTGTTTACTATTCCAGTGTTCCAGTAGGCTGCAGCATGCAGTTTACTGTGGCTGAGTTTTTGGAAACATCATTTTGCCAATGATCATCATGTTCCCCCGGGCCCCTCTTTAAAGTGGCATCACTCAGTGTTGCAGAAAGGGGCTTGTGAGGATAGGTCACCACGTGGCAGTTGAAGAGGAACCTGGCTGCTCATCACCTATGCCGAGCCGCACAACTTCAAACCTCATTTACAACACGCTAACTGACAGCTAATGAAAACACTGTCAGACGGCCTGTGCAAACAATACAGGAGGCAACGAGAGTGCTTGGCTGGCAGACAATAGCTGTTTGGCAACCGGTAGGGCCAGGCTCGCTTGACTTCTCGAACAGATCAGGCTCGAGCTTGTTTCCCCGCAACGTTTCATCAATCTTAATCACGGCTGCAACTTGCAAGGACAGTTAGGTTTTGAAACTCAATCCCCTCTCTGGAAAAAAAAAAAAAAAAAAAGAGAGGCGCTAGGTTAGACTTTGCTCTGATCTGCTTTCATTCCCTAAAAGATTTTTATTACTGTTGTGGTTGTTAGTATTGGCTGAAATTCTGCTGGCATCTTCCCCGAGGGCAGTGTTTTTATTTTGTGTTTGGGCAAAGCATTTGAGCTGAAGGTTTAAGGGAAATGTGGGAGATAAAAGTGGTATTTGGGAGATAAAACTAAGATTGTAGCGGGCAGAGCGAACGGGGAGCTGTGAGAGAGCAACACCTTTCCCGAATGAGCCACGAGACAAATGCATCACTCCCTATTCCTCTCATTCACAAATCCTGACCACATACAGCCAAGTCTACTCCACTCCCCCACCTCACCTATTAAATAATCCCGACAACATACAGTCAAATATACCCCTCTCCCCACCTCACTCATTCACCAGTCCCCACCCTACACATCTGGAGCAACAATTTTGCCAGCCCTGACTCAAAAAAAAAATGCTATACAAATAACGGTGAAACAGCCGAAACGTAAGTCTCGCACAAGATGTTTTCAGATAAGATGGCTGAGGTGCGATTACCTTCAACAGAGGTTTCTTTAGGGATGGGCTTGTGTGCAGGAATGTTTATTATATGTCGATTTACAGCAGCGTTGCCATCTTCTGACCTGATTTTGTCAGATTTCTAAAGCTAAGCAAGTCTGGGCCTGGTCAATAGTTGGAGAGCAGACGTATACGGAAACCCGGGTTACTGCTACAGTGGTGTGGGCCTGGTTGACCAATAGATGGGGCTCTTCCCTCTCAACCACAATTTCCAACCCAACAATGCTGCAGTGTGAACTGGGGACACCATGCTTTTGGAGGTACAGATGAGGCTTTAAGTTGAGGTCCTCACTATGTGGTCATTACAGATCCCATGGCACAGCTCATAAGAGTAAGGATGCTAACCCTGGTGTCCTAGCTAAAGCCCACTCTGAGCTTGCACAGCCTGGCCCCTTGAATCAGCTGCAGCAGTTTCTGACTTCTTCACATGACCTGCTGTGCAGTGTGGTTTCAGCAGTGGATGAACTGGGTCACCTCCTTTATTATAAACCCACTTGTGATCCTTTAGCATGAACAGTTCTACGTGAAACCAATTATAATTATATAATAACATTAAACACATTGTGTATTATATGAAAATGGATGACCTTTACTCGTCTTAATTTCATACCAAAATATAAAATGCTTAGACTGCTGACAGAATTAGAAAGTATAAGTACTCTATAGATACACTAGTATGCCTTTGTATGAACCATACAGACATTGCAGAGGCTGTGTTTATCTGCTTTTTAGGTATGTTCCATTTGCTCATGCATGTGAAGTTCTGAGCTATTGCTAATGTAGTTGCTCCCTCTGCTGGTAATATATTTCCACAAGTATGGGAAATCTCCCCCAATAAGAACACTCAGTGACTATTTCATTATGTACGCAGAAGAAATCCACAGGTTCCTTCTCTCTAACGATGACCTAATGCACAATGGGCCAATAATAGTTAAAGGAACAAGTCATTGGTTTATTCCATGCTGAAAAGAGAAGAAAGAAAACACAACGTTTCGGCCGTGGAGCCTTCTTCAGGTGTGATGGTTTCCGAAAAACTAACCATGAAATTACGTTAAAACCGTCATATGGTTTGACTATTTTTACAGTTCGCTCTGTGCATATTCTCTCGGCGGAAAAGCACCACCTCGTTGATAATCATATCGGCTTTCAGCGTTTTCAGAACGCCCAAATCATATTCAGAGTGTGTATAGTGTCACATATACACTGCCATCTTCATCCTTCAATGAATAAGAGATCTAATCATTTTCACTTGTACAGCATCATCCATGCAGCAGCAGGTTAGCATACGCATACACACACACACACCAACGCCTTCCGGGTCACTTCGCCTGCAGTGACCTCAACTCCCACAAGGCACCGCGCCAGCCCTGACCCCAGGCGCTCGTGTGTGCGGAGTCCCCCGTTGCCAAGGAGAAGGCAGTGTCACAGACAGGCACGGGGCGAGGAGCAGCCGCGCGATCACAACAAACGTCGCCGCTGCCTGGCTGCACAGGCACTGGGAGCCGGAACCGGGCGCACGGTGAGTCCGAAAGAGCAGGAAAGGCAAAATATGTGCAGCCGTTTACCCTTTATACATTAAAGGATCTACTTGGAAGGATTGGGCAGGCTGCCAGCCGTTGCATTGCAACTCTTTTCCTTAGCCTGCTTTCACCTGTAATGTGGTATAGTGTAGCTGCTGGGCATCTCTGTTCAGACAGCCCGTGTTATTATAAAATATACTCTCTCTCTATATATATAATTATATATTCTTACTGTGTTCAGTGCCTGTGTTGGGTGTGTTCAGTGCCTTCCTGTCTGGCATATGTTCGGTGTATTACTGTGTTCAGAGCCTTCCTGCGCTACCTGTGTTCAGTGTCTGACGTGTGTCTCATTGTTTCGTAGATATCTGGGGCTCCATTCATAGCTGTGTTGTCTCACCCATCCTTTCAGGGCTGAAACACGCCTTTTGAAGTTGTGTCCCAGCGTCTCTGCTTCACAAATTCATACTAGCTCATACAGTCTAGGATGGCAGGTTGGGTAGCAGAAACTGGTTAACTAATGTGAGAGGTTTTATTTTATTTTAAATGTACAATTAAACGTAAACAACACTGAGAATGTGACAGTTTTTATTTTCCAGTGTGAAGTGCAGCCTTCAGCTTCATTGCAGCCTGTTTTGCTTCTGTTGTGATTTTCGCGATCACTTGTCAATAATAGAAGCCAAGAGGTTTTCTTTTAAAAAAACAAAACAAACATTTTTAATTCCATTTCTTAATTCAATTACTGTCTTGAACGAATGAACGACTGACCCACGAAGACTATCAAGACTAGGAGACACTGGGACAAGCACCTTTGCAGCATGAAACGTACACTGGCCCACTTACAGAATTCGCTATATGATTGCAGTGACCTTGGGATTCTCTAGGTAGATTCTCTATGTACGTCATTAGCCTCTCTGCTCATCCTTAATTCTAATTCTTCTTAAATCCTGTCCCGGCAGATTGCGTTTCACAAAAGCTTAGTGCACTGCTAGGAAGCAATCTGTTCGTGGTCACACTCACTGTGTAGCAATGCGGACAGGCCCTGTCTCTGTGCCCATTTGTCTGTGTGCGTGGTTTTGTGCCCTGTGCGCTTGATAATTCTGTGTGGGGTGTTCTTCACCCTACTGTAGAAGTTGTTACTTCTGTATGTAACTTTTATTTGTCTCAGGAACTTTTCCTTTTCAGGGTCAATGCTGTTGACATTCACCTGTCTGCAGTACGCTGTGGTGGTATACTCTTCAAAGAAACTCCTCAAATGTGCAACAGATTGATCTTCACCTTTAAAAAGCAGCTTTCTTAGAAGGATATGCACCAAGCATGCCTACTTTCAGATGATGATAGGATAACTCTAGTTATCCACAGGAACCTTTCCATGCAAATGTCAAGATACATGCCTGAACATGCTATTAAGATTTTTTTTTGGTATTTTGCATGAATGTACAGTAGAACATGCTGCGAACAGGGTTTTTTTCTGTTTTGCTGGCACTAATGCTAATGAGGATCAGATGGTAAAAGAACAATAATCCAGATTAAAATACCTGCTGGCTGTGTTCTTTCAGGGTTTTTGCAGTCTGAGCTAATGTACATTAAACTCTCATGTTAGAATTTATGTCACTAATTCCTTGTAAGGGTCTTGCCGTTTCTAAGGATGCTTAATTTCACATAACGTACCCTGCAAGAGTATTCTCTCCCCTGCAATGATGTCCCAATTCATAAAATTACAAATGATGTCTAATCCTTTTTTAAAGTGAACATTTATAATCAAAACTTGGATGGTCAAACTGAACACACACACAAGGATTAAGGGCCCAGTTAATGCCCTGACTTGAATCCAACAGAATCCAATCTGTGGCAAGACTTGAAAATTATTGTCCATCAACCTACTTGACAGAGCTTGAGTGAGTTTGCAAAGGAGAACTGGCAACAGCTACACCATCCCAGCGTGCAGTGTTAATAGACTAATCCTAACAGAGTTGTAATTGCTACCAAAGGAGCTTTTAGCAACTATTGAGGGAGGAGGGAAGTACTTACTGTATGTTATCAACATTTTCTAGTTTTTTATTTTTCCTTGCAGTATTTGCTATCACTTCTTAATGATCGACTTTACCTCGCTCATTGTATTTGAATCGATTTTAATCCCCTTCTCCTAAGAACGTTATCCATGAGTGGTTTTGAAAACAACTCCATATTTTCATCAGTTGTAATTCAACAAAATGTGATGTCATGAGAAGGGAGTGAATACTTTTGTAAGGCACTGTATGTAAGGATTTAAAAATATCTGTTGACTGTATATTTACAGGCTTTTGTTCACCTCACAATGGTATTATTATACCGTGCATAATGTTAATTTTCGCTTTGATAATATCATATTGGATTTTTTCACAATGTTCAATGTTTACCGTTTATTAATTTAAAAGTTACTCACAAGTAACTCACCTTGGATAGAAGCGTTAGCAAAATGCAATGATAATGTCTTTAAAAGTCAGCCTACTGCACATCTGCTAAGTGAAATTACATCAGAAGTACCACATGATATGCCTACTTCATCATAATGTTTTAGTCCACAATTAATGCAAAATGCAGCGCCAGCTCAAACTCAATTAGTTGACTTTTGAAATCCATTTCTGTGTAAAGGAGATATTAAAAACAAGTGCCCTTAAATAATTACCAAGCAGGATTCTCTTTCCAGCAAACCTAACCGTTGAAGACTGTATCTCTCAGTGGAAGCTTAGCGAGGGCAGCTGTAACATGACAAACCCAATAGTTTTTTCTCACTCAGCCTTGGATTTTAGTTTTTCTACCTATAAATGAAGGACTACCGACTTTGTACTTTTTCATGTTAACGTCTCTCTGTCTGTCATAAAGCAGATATCGGTAACATTTCTCAAATCTTGATTTCTTTCTGAAGAGTGAATTCTTCCAGTTCCATTTTATATTGTGTCACTTAGTTCTTTCCACAACTATTTTGTGGATTTTAGACTGATATCGATCAAAGATTCACTCAATACACTTGGTGTGTATTCTCTCTTACAAAAGGAATTAATTAAATTATCCTCTTACTTAACCCTAAAATATATGTGCTAGATACAGATCACTTTCTCTGTAGATCTGTAGATCACAGAGATTTTCAAAATCTATGCCTTCCTCTTAATCCAAGACCCAGCCTAATCCTCACTCTAGGCTTCACTCTAACCTTAACTCTTAATTAATCTTCATAAAGAAATACATTAGATGCCTATATGTTACACTACATACTTTACAATGTTAGTGTCACACAGGGACTTATTTTGGGATTGTTATCCTTTTTGATTTGTAAATTATTTGCCTTCTATTTTCCCTTGGGTAAATGTGTGTTTATTTTCTGGGAACTTTATTCTGCTTTTCGTCCTCAATATAAATAATCTACCTGAATAAGATGAAGTTTTATAAAGGCTCCAGACTGTGGGTCCAGATGGGTACAGGCTAGAACAGGTCTAATGAGCTCTGATTACACACAGTGCAGCTGGCTCACCCTCAGAACTAGTGGAGAAAATGGCTAAATGTACGTAAAGAATATATGAATATATTTTTGCATTTTTGATGTGATAGTGCAGAAGTGTTTTTTTCTAACGTACAATTAGGGTGCATGTGTACACAAACTAGACAAAGGGGGAAAGCAGACTTCCAGACAATACCGTTGTATTGGTACCAATGAGCATCTTGCATCATGGAAAAGTGCCGCAAACTAATGAAAAAGAATAAATCCAATAATTCCCCTTAAACATTTTTTATGTATTAATGGACAAGGGAGGAAAAGAAACATAGTGTACAAAATGCAGAAGGACCAAATAACCAGCAACTCACTAGGAAAGATTATTAGCAGTTTTGTTCACAGTGACATGAAGGCTGCAGTTCACGGCCCCAGATGGATAGCAGGAAACGTGACATAACCAAACTGACATGAGAAATCAGCAGTTGAAAGGATTCATTTCTAACCACATTTTAGAGCCATTGTGTAAAAATCCGATCGTATTAACTATTATGCAATACGATTTTTTTGTAATAGAAACAGATCATGAGAATAAGATGGGATTTCCCAAAGAGTCTGTGAAGCCACTTCAATATCTCATGATGCTTTTCCTGAGGCTTTCTCTGACTCTTCCTTTTTTGTGTTGCAGAGGTATCAACATGGAACGTTGTTCTGCATTAAACGTGCGCGCTCTTGGGATTGCATAATTGAGAGAAATGGCCCCTTCTCCAAGAGGACACCCCGGCAGCTGGCATCGCATCTTTGTGTGAAGTGTGGCAGTCGTTGTCTTTGATTTATGACACTTCCAAGGCCTTCTGCTCTGGCCAACTGGGTATCTGGACACTGATCAGGGGTTGTTTGTGTCAAGCCATGAATCGCTACACAGCCCTGAAGCAGCTGGGAGATGGTACGTATGGTAGCGTGCTCATGGGCAAGAGCAACGATTCTGGAGAGCTGGTTGCTATCAAGAGGTAGGTCCACTTTCGGTATTTAATTTCCCCTTTTTGCAGATGATATCGGTGTTTTTAAAGGAAATAACTGATTGTTAGTGTTATTATAACCCCACGGTGTAATTTACCTTTCCTTTATTCTACATTTACTTTCCCCCCCTTAAGAATTCCTTTTCCATACAAGGTTTCAGCTCTGACGAGATTTTGTGTCCATATACAGGGTTTTCTAAATGAGAAACCAGAATAAAAAAATGCAATAAATAAAGAGTGCTTCTCCAGGTTTCATTTTCAGATGCTCTTGGATACCATGGATAAATTGACAGATTAGATCATTTGAAGCCCCCAAAAAATATTAATGAATTAAGGGAAATATATTTCTGTGACCATTTAGTCAAGGAGGATGGTTAGACTGTGCATATTCAGAAACCAAGTGGGACAAAGTCACTGGTATTAGTCAAGTAGCATATAAATCATTCGTATCAGTCACCTCTGTGAACCACCTTTGTTTTTCACAAAAGGAATCAAAAACAGGTACCAACAACTTATTACTGTATATGCAAAATATGTCTGCAGGAGTGTTCATCAAGACTGATGATATTTCAGCAGGACTGAAGGAAAACGAATTAGAAAACAACTTAGATATTTGAAAACCTGTTGGCTGTGGCTGTGGTGTTCTGTTTAGATGTTTACATAACAACTGAAGCCCTGCTTTCATTCAGGAACCATTTGGTACTGTTTGCGGCAACACTGTTGTATACAGTGACAACCAGCAATCAGGGCGGGTTGTTAGGGAAGTGTACTAACATAGGCTTGAGTTAATTATTATATTGAAGGGCACTTACAGTGAAAAAGAAAGCTAAAACATTTTCAAAAATCAGAATGGAATCAAACTTTTAAATCAATTCCCCAATGTGTGAGAACTGTAACCATTTGTAAATCTTGGTTGTAGACTAATTTGAAAAATATTTTCTGTGGATCGTTTTAGCTGCTTGTAACAATAGTCTAATGTTGACATTTTAATGGAAGTGCTATTTAAACGGTCTCTGTATGTAAAATAAATCAGGTGCGTTGCAAACTCAATCTGTACTTCTACTAATGTGCATATAGATGCAAAGATGCTAATATTACTTTCAAATAGAAAATGACTGGTTGAAACAAAGCCTGTTACCATATAATTTAAGAATTATCTCCCTGGTGTCATGTGCAATAAGAATCTCTAATCCAAGTGTATGGTCACATGGTAATGTGGTCACCCAGGCCAATCCTAAGTGTAACATGTCCACTGGAAATAGTGTCTACTACTTGAAATGTTCCAATAAATGCCACTGGGATGCTGACTATATTACAGTAATAGTGATTTTCAGTAGATGAAATATTCCTCAAAGAGAGAATATTTCTTTTCATCTGGATGTGAAAACAGTTTTACACGATTAGTCTTTTTATTTGTTCATGACATTTCCATATCCTATAATATTGTAGTACATTATTGATTACTGTGTGGCATGAGGATTAAAAAGACATTATCCATTTATTTCCAAACGTTTTTGTGACTTTATCAAGGGCATCATTACCAATGTGCTGAAGGTGATTGAGAGTATCTAGAGTGAATGGCCCCACCAAAATGTAACCTTTAAATGTAACAGTCTCTGCACCACTGGCATGTCACGGGGCACATTGAGAATATAGCCGTGTTGTGTGCCATTGTGTATAAAACTAGTTTATTGGGTTTTTAGTTTCCACTGAGTGCTTTTGTTTTCCTCCTGTCTGCGAAAGATGTGCTGGCTGGGTTACTTGGTGTCTCTAAACTGAATTTGTATTTGAATAAATATCTCTAATTGTATATTGTCTCTAAAACATGCTGTGCCATTGGGCCCTTCATAGTGAATAAGCTGAGGCAATGTGTGTCTTCACATTACCTTTGTTATGAGATACAGGTTTACAAGTCTGGCTTTCAGCAAGGATTGTTAATAATAAATAGAACCTTGAGTTTAGCTGGCAGTGTTTGTAAATGAAAGGTTATCGTGCAAATTGATACCCTTGATGATGGAGAAAGGAGTGAAAGTTTACAGTGTAGTGTTGCCACGCTGTCACATTGGCAGGAGCTGGAATGCCAAATGCCTTCACTAATCTCTTAGTGTCTTAGTTTTTTCTTAGAATTCTATAAAATTTGCTTGCAAAAGAGTGCGTTTTGTAGGCCTACCATAGAAATTATATTTCTTAGACTGTTGAGCAGTTTTCCATTGAAATCGCTTCATTTTTTTTTGTTTCTCTTCCCAACATAAGTCTGATTTACACATGACTCAGCATTTTAATTTCACATCATAGTGCACACCTGGTATGTGGCCAGACAGGAGCCTCCTGTTCCCTGCTGGATCCTCCCGATAGCAAGCCTTTACGTCACATTCGATATCTATGACTCCTACCTTCCAAAATGCAAAAGCAGTTCGTTTTTCTTTCTGCTGCCTGTGATCCAGTGTTGATTAAAAGAGACTGAAGCATGAGGCGTGTCAAGTGGGTGGGGGAAGTTGTAGACCAGGGTTGTGCAAGTCTTACACTCTCGTATTGAGACTGACCAGCCCAGTTAATATGAGTTATGATAACAATTTATTGCATTTTTATATATCATTGGAAAAATCATTTACACCTGGCAAGGGACCTGCTTCGTCAGCCACTGGAAGTGCAGCCCCAGTGCACTGCAGCTCAGGTGGAGAAGTGAAGATCGCCTCACCAGCTGACTCGAGGGGGAACACTAGGCCGGCAGGGAGGCCAGGTTGTACGAGCCCAGGCTCAGGGTGCCGTTTAGCTCCTGGGTTGTCTTCCCTCCTCTGTTGAACAGCGCTGAGGGATCTTTAATGGCCACCAGTCAGGACCTTGGCTTAACATCTCAAAGAGTGTTAGCAATGTGGACGGCCATTTCTTCTTCGATTTCACATAGCGTCTTGCAATCGCTGCTTTTGAATTATTTAGCCTGCCATGATGCATGTTTTGGTTGTTGGTCTTGTGGTAGCCTCCAAACCGGCTCCCGCCAATGTCGCCTATAATTTATTGATGATTTTACAGTAGATATCAGATTCTTTTTGTTTTAGTCACCCGGCAGCTACAGATTAATTACAGAATTCAAATTTTGCCTTATCTGTAAATAAAGTATGAAATATGAAAATGAGTATTACTATAAGATCTTCATAGATTTGTGTGGATTGTTGAAATGAGAAAAGTGTCTGTAATTGTTTAAAACCAACAATATGAATTAATCTAGTGGTAAAATAAAGTATATGTGTAAAATCTAGTTTAATGCTGAATATAATTTTCCAGTATACAGTAAAACCGTGTTGTTGCCCTTGGCAGGATGAAGAGAAAGTTTTACTCGTGGGAGGAGTGCATGAACCTGCGAGAAGTCAAGGTAAGTGACAGCGTTAAGGAAACAGCAGCTCCCTGAGTAGCAGGTCTTCACACAAGAGGTGCACTGAAGTAGGCCACGGATTACTACAAAGTGTGTCTCTGTGAGGATGCCAGCGCACCCAGCACCTGAAGAGTGACACTGCCAGCACGTCAATAGTATTTTGTGTTTTAAGTGGTCTGTCCTTGTCTTTCAGACCCTCTCGGGATTCTAGAACAAACACATCGCTCCTCTCTCAAAGAAGACCATACGGTCTCCTTCTTTCTTGATTGTTTGTCACTTGGTTCCACCACTCACAGCTGACATTTGGTTTTGCATTCACTTAGTTACTCCCAGCTTCTTATTCTCTGCAGCTTCACTTTCTGTCTTAAGCAGCTGGACTCACTGTCACCCGTTTTTCACTAAAATAGTCACTTCAACACGAGACCTTGAACTCGGCCAGCCCAATTTTCTATCCTCCCGTTATTCACAACATGACTTTCCACCCTGTACCGCTCTGCTGATATTAAGACCTGGGGAAGATTCTGATCTCAGCCTGTCATCTAGCCCCTTTCTCTTTTCCGCCTTTAGGAGGAAACTATTAACTGTGCCGATAAGCGATATCCCACTCCACAGGGTTCGGACGCCACCCTGCTCCTCGGCAGCACACTTCATCCTCATTGAGTCTGAGGAATGATCTGCCAAACGCCCGCCTGTCTTAAATTAGTACTTAAATTAGTCCTAAGCTGTTTTTTTTTTCTTAAGGATCCCTCGCAGAGTCCCAGAAATCTGTAAGCCAGCTCAGTCTGTTACTAATAAGAACTCCCCCTGTACAGCTGTCATTCTCTTTCCTTCCAGACTGGAACCCAGCCACAGACTCCACGTTGCACAATTCTCTGCATTTTAATAAACACTGCAACTGCTCTGTGTCTCTCTTCACCAAACACCACATCTCCACTAGGACCTACTGACTTTTCCAATCCCTTACTTTCGTAGCTGATCCTGTTTGGCCAGGAGCACTGCCCTATAATCAAACTTAATCTCCCTGGCGCAGCAGCAGCCTGTTTTGCTGTTTTCTCATCCTGCACGCTCTGAGACCTTATTGAGCCTGACAGACTACCCAGCAGCCACCTGTCCAATAACTTTGGTGCCGCCCTGTACAGATATAACTGTACGTGCTCTGCCATGGCTTGCTCACAGAGTTCCACAGGTCACTGTGACCAATTGCACTCAGAGCCTGTCCCACCAGCAACCTCCCCTCACATGGAATTTCACTCCCTCAGAGTACTAATTACTCTTTCAGTGCAGCTGTGTCTTATTCAGCAGGTTCTTTCAATTAACGGCCGGCCAACCTAACAATTTCGATTTTCTTTTATCTGGCTTCAGCATAAAATACTCTGATCTCATTCACAGAATGCTTTGTCCTATACAGTATTTTTGTATCATACAGTAATGTTATTGTTCTCCCTAGCCTTGTTGGATATGGTGTTTCCTCACTTTTTAAGTACTTTATGTGTAAATTATGTTATTTTTTTATTCTGTATGTACACTTTCATAAAAATGTTTCCATTGTGTGTTGCACTTACTCAGTATTGCATTTAACCTCCTGTATTGCAGTCACTGAAGAAGCTGAATCATGCAAATGTCATTAAATTAAAGGAGGTGATCAGGGAAAATGACCATTTGTACTTTGTTTTTGAATATATGAAAGAAAATCTGTATCAGCTTATGAAGGACCGGTAAGTATTTTGATGTACCGTTATCACAAGGAATTGAATCCAGTTTTAAGAGTGTTTCATTCAGCTTCACTCCACAATAAAACATGCATTAAATGCTGTGATCTAGAAGTATGGTATCTAGTACAGTTCATTCTAGTGAAATAAAACTCCCCATGGTCCATCGATTCACACAATGTGCATGATTCCTGAAAATAATTGTGCAGAACACAATCGCCTATTGATCATTTATTTGTCTGTGCAATCACTTATGCACAGACTCTTCTTGAATGAACACTGTAGGCAGATCACAGGAATCTGAAAAATATTTTTTCTCTTTTAGTAATTTCTTAAAATCTTTAAATGTCCCTCTGTCTGATGTATCAATTAATATAATCATTCTTCCAGATATCAGAATTTAAAGTACAGAAGATATTACATTAAAATTAAGTCCTAATTTAATTAAAGCCATGAATGATGTTGTTGACTATTTGTGTATAGCAGTTGGGTTTTCACATTTCATTCCCAGTCATCACGTACATTTTTATTTGTTTTCAGAAACAAGTTGTTCCCCGAGTCTGTCATCAGAAATATAATATATCAGATATTACAAGGGCTGTCTTTTATCCATAAGCATGGTAGGTTTTTCTTTCAGGACCATCTGCTATCTTCCCATGCAAAGAACAAGAAAACCAGAGTGTTAACAAGCTACTTAGAACACCAAAAACAAAAAACATGCTAATATATCTCTGTTTTTTGGATGTTATTACAAATGTCTAGTTTTCTTTTTATCTGCCTGTTTTTTTAAAAACTAAAGGCAATCTAAACTTATTGCCTAGGAAATGTATTACCTACATATCTATCACCCAGTTGACAAATTTTGTTATGTAGTGGATAAAATCTGCTTGTTTCAATACAATAGTACAATAATTTAAAAATAAAATCAAACAAACATGAAATACATTTTATAAAGACAAAATGTTTGACATGCATTCCAATGTCAAGCCTTAGAGGAAACACTGTTGACAGCCACTGTGATTCTTGTTCTTTTTCTGGGAGGGTTGGTTTGTGATACCATGCTGCTGCAGTAAATGCATTGTACCATATCCAAAAAAACATCGAAACACCTCATCCAAAATGTGTTTCTCTTCAAAAGTTCAGAATAATGCCAGTTGCCCACCTGGGAATGAACAATTGTCTCAGCTCGCAACAGCAACAGCAACAGCCCCATGTGTCAGCACAGGGAGCCTGGGAGGATACAGAAGGGCAGACCCATGTGGTCTGCGATCCATTCATCTTTAGCCACACTCTGAGTTAGCAGGAAGCCTGCAGGGGCGCGGAAAGTCACAGGGGTCGCTGTTTGACTGGAAGCTGAGAGAGCTGTAGATTTTTAAGTGTCATTACTGCCCATGCCTGTGGTATCGCAATCCCTTCAGAGAGCATGTTTTCATAGGTGCATTATTTTCTTATCTTTGTTCTTTTCCTGTCTTCTGCTTATTTGCTGCCAGTGAAAATAAGATGTTTACTGAAAACGAAATAAGGAACATAACGTTCCAAGTGCTCTCTGGTTTAGCCTTTGTGCACAAGCATGGTAAGGTTCTTTCTCTGCTTTCTATTTCCCTTTTCTTCTCTTGCCCAGTTTGTTGTGCGTAAAGATCTTTTGACATTTTCTTGGACAATATAGTTCTCATTTTTAGTAATCATCTTTGTCTAGTCACATGCTGTAGTTGTTTTAGTCTGAAAATAACGTGTTTTTGAATTTATCACCTCCTACGTGCCCTACGTTAACACGTAGTTTTTTTAACATGGAGTATTAAAGCTGTTTAAACCTGCAAAGAACCATTGTGCCGAGTTGAAAAACTATTTTACAAAGATTTGATCATTATCACTTGGATATAGTGACATGCACCACATATACTAGTTCTTTTAACTATTTATGGACACATTTATTTTTGGGGGTGGGCATTGAATTGCTTTTCGTTCAGTATACATACAGTAGTTGAAATAGCAACACACATTTGTTTAAAAAGCTTCTTCTTATGACAATTCTACAGGATTTTTCCATCGTGATATGAAACCTGAAAACTTGCTTTGTATGGGCCCCGAGCTGGTAAAGATTGCAGACTTTGGATTAGCAAGGGAAATCCGGTCACGTCCTCCATACACAGACTATGTGTCCACTAGATGGTAAGTGTGCTTAGATGGTAACTAAAATGAAAAATAAGTGTTTAGTAAGCTTGTCATACAGAAACAATTCAGACT